CGGCAGCCGGGACCGTTGGGGGTGGGGCGTGTGGCCTTATGACACACTTCCGTTGATGTCAGGGGGTGTGGCCTTAAGACACACTTCCAGTGATGTCAGGGGGTGTGGCATATGCTAATGAGTTATGCTAATGAGTTCCCCTAGCTCTTTTTCTACGAAACAACCCCTGGGTACAATGCCCTAAAGTCTGCCCTCCAAAGCATCCATTTCCCCCATGGGAAGTGATCTCTGTAGTCTGGAGATGAGCTGTAATCCCAAGAGATCCCCAGGTCCCACTTGGAGGCGGGCATCCCTATTTCGGCCAGGGAAATGCTAGCCACCCTGCTGAGGTAAAAGTAGTGACTTTGTGACTTCATTCCATCGTACGTCCCACCAGTTTCGAAATGTTATTCAGCGTGTTTAGTTATGGCTGTGTAACCTCTTTATCTGGGACAAGCAGGCTCCGATTTTTTCAAAGCTTTCTTCTTCCGGTTACAGGCCTTGCTACGGAGGTCCAAGCGCTTCAACAGCCACTTCCCGATCTGTACCTACTGCTGCAACTGCTGCAGCAACAAGAAATGCGGTTTCTGCTGCCGAACGTAGAGAGAGCGAAGCCTTTGAGGGATAAACCTGGCGTTGTGGGACAGCTCCCCCTTCCCGCTCCACACACACAGAGAGACTCCCCACAGTGCCCCCAAAGCTGCTCCCCTGTTTCCTCCGTGCCTCCTTATTTATTTCTTCAGTATTTCACTTTGTATCTTCTTTTTTTTGTTACTTGGAATTAAAGATGTTTTTACCTCATGACTTTCACTGTGAGTTTCCAATTAGCAGTGTTTCTAAGTGGGGTCCAGTTTGGTGTAGTGGTTAGGAGCGCGGACTCTAATTCTACATGCAGCAAGCTGGGTGACCTTGGGCGAGTCACAGTTCTTTCAGAGCTGTTCCCTCAAGGGCAGTTCTTGAAAGAGCTCTCTCAGCCCCACCTTCATCTCCGGCTTGGGAAATACCTGGAGATCTAGGGGGTGGAGCCTGAGGAGGGCAGGGTTTGGAGAGGGGAGGGGCTTCAATGGAGTGTACTGCCATAAAGACCACCTTCCGAATTGGCTGCGTTCTCCCGGTAAACTGATCTCTGTCACCCAGAGATCATTTGTAATATTGGGAGAAGGTCGAGCCAGAACCAACAGGTTGAAATTAAATCAGACGAGTTTTCAGCTAAACATTAGGAAGAACTTCCTGACAGTTAGAGCGCTTCCTCAGTGGAACAGGCTTCCTCGGGGGGGGGGGGGCTCTCCGTTGGAGGTTTTTAAGCAGAGGCTAGATGGCCATCAGTGCTTAGTTCTCCTGTCTCTTTCTTACATGCCCAGGGAAATGCTGATTGCCACTTTGGGCTCAGGAAGCAATTCTTCTCCAGGACCGATTGGCCAGGGATCCTGGAGCCCCCCCCCCCCTTTCTGGGAATGGAACAGCGGTCACTGTGTGTGTGGGTGTGGGGGGGGGGGGAGGGTTTTTGGAATTTCCTATGGGTATGGGGGGGGGAGGTATTTGTGAATTTCCTGCATTGTGCAAGGGTTTGGACTCTATGACCCTGGAGGTCCCTTCCAACTCTATGACACTATGAGATCTCCAGCCACCTCCTGGAGGTTGGCAACAATGCTCCCTCTAAACTGTGAGGTCCTGTGAGCAAAAATCCTATTCTGTGAGTGACTGGCATTAAAGTTGTGAGCAGGTGATTTGGCTGTTGCATAAATTTGTTGGCTCTGGAGCCCTCCCTTCCTGAGCTCAGGCACAAACGTGTGAGCCGGAGGCTAAAAAAACTGTGAGCCAGCTCACACTAACTCAGCTTAGAGGGAACACTGGTTGGCAACCCTATCTCCATTGTCTAACAGTAACCCTGTGAGGTTGGGTAAGCTGAGTGCATGTGACTGACCCAAGATCACGTTGCAAACTTCCAGGGCGAGGCAGTGTGGTATAGTGGTTAAAGTGTCAGACTAGGATACTGGAAGGCCCACTATCCCCTGGAAGCCTGCTGGGTGAACTTGGGTCAGTCACATGGTCCCTGCCTAACCTACCTCACAGGGTGGTTGTTAGGAAACGGAGGAGGGGAAGAAATGATGTTCTAAGCTGCTTTGTGTCCCCGTTGGTGAGGGAAGCAAGATATGAATAAATAAAAAGAGAGATTATGTTGAACAAGTAGAGGCAGTATGACTGTACAGACGCAGAAGTATGCCAGGCGGGTAACCTTCTCTCCAAAGTCTTTTGTATACCGTGATCGCCTGCAGAGAGGCTCCGGCCCTGCAAGGCTAGCGGGAGTGCAAGGAAGCCCCGCAAAGGCCCTCCCTGGCCCCAGGCAGGCAGGGGTGGGGAGAGGCAGGGAGGAAGCAACTTACCCTCCCTCTTCTCCTGCCTCCTCCTGGCTGAATGAGGGCCGGAAGCGGGGCGGCTGGAAGCAGGGGGCGGGGCTTCGTCATGTGCCCCGCCCCCCTACCTCACCCGGGGGAACTGCATTCCCCCACGTTCCCCCCGAAATGCCCTCTGACCTAACCTATCTTACAGGGTGGTTGTTAGGAAACGGAGGAGGGGAAGAAATGATGTTCTAAGCTGCTTTGTGTCCCCGTTGGTGAGGGAAGCAAGATATGAATAAATAAAAAGAGAGATTATGTTGAACAAGTAGGGGCAGTATGACTGTACAGGCGCAGAAGTATGCAAGGCGGGTAACCTTCTCTCCAAAGTCTTTTGTATACCGTGATCGCCTGCAGAGAGGCTCCGGCGTTATCCTCCCGCCTCCCTTGCCTCCAACTCCAAGTTAATCACAGTAATAAAAGCAACGGGACGCCCTGAAAGTACAAAAATAGAGACGTATACTTTGCAAGGCTGACGGTAGAATCCACGGACACAACAGGCTCAGCACAGCAGGAAAGAGCTCCGTCTTAGGAGGAGAAATGGGGTTAAACAGCTCACCTCCGTTCAGTGGACAGTCCGGGGAGTTACCAGCATTAACGTGTTTCCCTTGCACTAAGGGAGCCTGAGGGCCATACGGTTGTCAGCTCCGGGCTGGGAAATACCTAGAAATTTAGTCTGTGGGGGTAGCCTGAGGAGGATACAGTTTGGGGACGGAATGGACTTCAGTGGGGTATAATGCCCTGGAAGCCGCCTTCCAAAGCAGCCATTTTCTCCGGGAGAACTGATCTCCATCGTCTGGAGATCGGTTGTAAGCCCGGGAGATCTCCAGCTGCCACCTGGAGCCTGGCAACCCTAAATCAAGGAGATTTCCTCCAGAAGGAATTTCTAAGGAGGTAGAGCCGTCAATATTTCCACCATGTCTCGGAATCCAGGGTTCTCTCTCTATAATAACACGACCGGCTCATGGCGGCCTCAGGACTGTGGGGCTTTCAAGGCAAGAGATGAGAAGAGGGGGTTTGCCATTGCCTTCCTCTGCATGGTGACCCCCCCGTCTTCCTCGGTGGTCTCCCATCTGAGCACTAACCGTGGCCGACCCGGCTTAGCTTCTAAGCTCTGACAAGAATTCAGGCTGCCCTAGCTCCCTAATATACCCTCACCAGAACAGGAAGTAAAGCTAATGTTTCCTGCAGCAGGAAGTCCCAAGGGGTTACCGTAATCGTACCTTCCGGAGAATTCCGGAAGGTAATCGTTACCATGTGGATAGTCGCAGGAGGATAGCTGTGTTAGTCTGAAGTAGTAGGACAACATCTGAGTCCCGTAGCACCTTAAAGACCAACAACATTTCCCCAGGGCGTGAGCAGACGTGAGTCAAAGCTCACTTGGTCAGGTACGAGCGTCGACTCACGAGAGCTCTACCATTTGGCAACTGCGCAAGGTTGGTTGTTCTAGGTGTCTTAGCTACATGCCACCACGTGCCTCTCTGGCTCCCCACCATCCCCACCAGTCGCTTTAGCTACTAATGTTTCTAGTTCTGTAAGCGCTTGTTAAATAGAAAAGTTGGGACGTCTCAGATCAGACATTGGAGTAGATCTGGTCAGTCCCCGAAGCAGGCTGCCAATTGCTGAGGTTCCCCAAATTCCCCAGAGGGCCCAACGACGAGACGTTCTCATAATCTTCGTCTTTGCTCTCCATGGTCTCGTAGTCTTCGGCGCATGTATCCTACGTGAGGAACAAGACAGGGGTTATACACGTTTGAGAAATGTTCTTGAGAGAGACAGACAAGGACTGTGGTCACACGCACTAAATAATCCACTTCCAGTGTACTTTCCAACTGGATTTTACTGTTTGAACTGGCAAAATCCTGTGGGAAAGTGCATTGAAAGTGGATTATTTAGTGTGTGTGAGACCACAGCCTAAAGAAATGCTGTAAAAGAGTGAATGAATAAAATGCATTTGAAGCTTCCTTCTACCAAATCAGAACATGGGTCCCTCGAACACAGGGGTCCCCGACCTGAACCTGTGGGAACCAGTGGAATTCAGACACAGCGCGGTGGGCGCAGCCTAAGGTTGCCAAATCCTACTTTCGTAATAGCGGGGGGAGTCCCGGACGTCCCCGGAAGCAATGTTCTCTCTAAGCTGTGGAGTCTTGTGAGCAAAAATTCTACTTTGTGAGCTACTGGCATCCATGGGTCCCTCGAACGTAGGGGTCCCCAACCTGACCCTGTGGGCACCAGTGGAATTGAGACACGGCGTGGTGGGCGCAGCCTAAGGTTGCCAAGTCCTACTTTTGTAATAGCGGGGGGAGTCCCGGATGTCCCGCCTGGCGTGTGCCCTTTGCACGCGTGCCGCGATCACGTCACCAGGAAGGGACACAATTAGGTTGGGTATATTGGGGGCGGGGCCACAATCATTCGAGGGGAAACCATAGAGCTTTCCCTCGGATGACAGAATGTCCCCCTGCAACGTGCCCAATGCGACTGCGTCACCTCCAGGTGACGTGTTCATGCTGGGCGCATCACGCACTTTGGGGGTGGGGTCCCCACTGGCCGGCAGGGAACGGGCCTCTCGGGCGGGGATTTCCCCGCCCCCCGGGGGGACTTGGCAACCCTAGTGCAGCCACAAAATGGCTGCCATAGACTGGTTGCTATAGGAGATGGAGCCAGCTACAAAATGGTTGCCCCCTCTTACCTTTGGTCACACAGTGAAAATCCTTGAACTGTGCTGGAATCTGCTGCCAAAGTCGTGTTTGTTTGTTTTTTAAAATCAAATCTCCAGTGGCCAATTGGAAACAGGCATAGCATATTGGCCTCTAGGATTACTGGGGTTATAGCATGCTTGAAGAAAGCTGAGTGCCCACAGGTGCCACACTGGGAACCTCTGCTCTAGCTTATGGTCTGCTTTGAGCAGAAATGGATCTCCAGTGTCTCAGAATGGTCTTTCCTACGTTTCTACCACCTGAGCTTCTCAAGTGGAGATGCCAGGGATTCAACCTGGGACTTTACTATGTCAAGTGGTTGGTCTATCATGGAGCTGGTAAATCGCTCCAAGTGAGGGAAGGCTACATTTTTAATAGCCACCCACACTCATGGCCATCCCTATGTCCTCTGACTGTGGACCCCACAATATCGTTACTCACTGAGTGAAGAAGTTCTCCCTCTTCTCCATCCTCCGTCTACCGCCCATCAACTTTGTTGGGTGCCCCCAAGTTCTACTGCCATGGAAGCAGGAGAAGACGTTCTTCATATCCTCTTTCTCCACCCCATATATAAGTGTATACCTGTGCCACCCATTTTTAGAGAGAATAGCCAGCCAGAGATCATCCAGTGAGCTTCACAGTAGAGTAGAGATTTAACCCAGAGCTCCCCAGTCAAAGTCTGGGGACTAACCATTACACTGCACTGATGAAGGACTGCCTACATTGTAAGTAGCTGGGCTCCCTCCTGTCTTGGACTTGCTGTACATGTTGAATTGTTCCTCTTTCTCAGAATTGGATGGCTTTTCTTCTTCAAGAGACGTCTTTTGTTCCCCATTTCCCTCATTGACATACAGTGTTGGGTCTTCCTCTTCCTCCTCCTCTTCTTTCCCTTTCTCTTTCCTGCGCAACAAACAAACAAACAAACAAAAAGAGTAAGGAGGTGTATGGTCATTCACCAAGTAATCAGAGACAACATCAGAGCTCCCTTTGGCCTGCTCAGTGCTTATGGACAAGGGCTTTGATATGTAGGAATCTGTGGTCAAAGTTTTTCAGGGCATGGAAATGAAATATGATCCAATACTGGGGTCCCCCCAACCTTGTTGAGCCTGTGGGCACTCTTAGAAGTTTGAGATGCCACACAAAATGGCTGCCACGGGGATGTGGATAACCACAAAATGGCTACCATGGGGGCTAAGGCCAATTACAAAATGGCTGTCACACAGTCATGGAACCAATCACAAGATATTGGGAGCTTCCAAGCCAAGCATCCTCCTACGATTGACTGTTGTTTCCGAATGGGTGCTGCTCGACGATACAAAGGTGATGCAGTAATGATTCCTTGTTTGAGTGTGTGTGTGTCTCTTTAAAAGTTTGGTTGCATGGCTGTGGTAGGTAGACTAGAGTGGTTGAGAGATGCAAGTATGGTATGATTGGTGGTTGACAGAGAGGGGGATGGGTTTTGGAAGTGAATCTGGGTGGATGCGTATATGTGTCAGTCAGGAGTTGAGGTTACAAGTTGACAGTGGGTGTGTGCAGGCTGTTCTGTGGGGAATCAGTTAGAAGTTGACAGTTTAGGTTGGTCAGATATAAAGAGAAAGAGAGCTAAGAGCTGAGGGTAAAGGAAAAATTCAAGGAAAGCTTAAGAAAAGTTATAGGAGAGTCTGGGTGTCATAACAAACTGGAGTGAAACAGTGAACATATATGATATTGAGATAAACAATTGTTACAACCTTGCAAAGAAAAGATCCCTGTCAGAGAGGGATAAAATTGTGTATGATACCAAATCAGTTGTTCATCATTTACATATTCCTAGTTACAGTTTAACCACCCACTTATGTAATACTTATTTCAATAAATCCTCTTTCATCCAAGTTTATACCAG